TTTAAATTCTTAGGAAGCCATTTCTTTTGAACCAAGATTTCATGGAGGTAGGGTGTGTCTTTAGTCTGCTTGAAATGATTTTTTAGTTATTCAAATGTATATATATAAAACCTAAAAAAATGATCTTGTTTCCTATCCTCCACATGCAAAATTTTTAAAGGCTTAGCAACCTATGTCAAGCAGCAACTGAGTATAAAGGTCATATTTCAAAATAGCAGTAATCTATATAGATATATGATGTATAATAATTGAAATGTAACTGTATTTTACAAAATGCTAGTCCACTAAAACACAGCCAAGACAGGTCACTTTGTAAAGACCAGTTTTCTATTCTTGGATACGGTAACATGAGTGCACGTGTGCCACATCATTGCAACTTCTGTAATGTTACTCAGGCACGGCTGAAAGGTCAATAAAATAAAAATAATAAATATGTTTAGATGTATATTGTTATGAGACTTAAGTTATTTAGACTAAACATTTATTGTAGTCATTTTAGAACAAAAAATGCATAATTTATATCTATTTCCCAATTTTTTATGGTGGTTACTAGGTTCGTCAAATTGACATAACCCATACAGAGATACATTAGTTAAAATGACAGATAAAATATAAAGTTCTTTCTAAAAAAACATTTGATAATTATTTGGAGGTTATAAAGATTTTGCTTGTGAAATTTCAAAATTTTCTAATGCATAAAAGTTTTTTTAATCTTAAAAGCAAAATTACTTTGCATGTTGGATAGTCAGCATTCAAAAAGAAAAATACATGAGAAAAACATACATTACTTAGTAAATCTTAAAACTTAATAAAAAAAAATATTTTGCAAAGAAAGACTTTTTGTAATGTTCACTTATACTCTGCAAAATTTCATTAACATATGCTTACTGTAGTAAAAGTTATGGTATGAAAACTATAACAAGCACGAAATGGTTATGAGATCATTCCCTGGGACCAAGCCCATAGTGAGAGAGTTAAATAATCTATGCTGTTAGTTTCAACATTATTAGTCATTTATTTTTCAAAAGCTCTTTTAGATTTCCTCATTTCTTTTTTAACCAAATCCCTTAGTTATGTTAGTTTAAAGTTGTTAAAACTTATTGGATTTAGCCTAGATTTTCCCCTTTATGTTTATTTAGTTGAGATTGATCTTCCATGTTACCCATTTTCTCTTTTTAGGAACATGCCTGTTTTGATTTAAAAGCAATTCATTTCTTAAAATTCCCCAAACTTGTTGCAAATTTAGCTTATATTATATTTCATAAATATATTTATTGCTTCCAAAACCATCTTACTATCTATCCTGCTTAATTGGAGCCTATCTCTATCATATAATTCACCTTTACCCTGAAAAACTACTTCACAGGTCCAACAATTCCACCATTTTCTCTAAGCATATCTCTGATAATTGTTCATTTAAGCCTTGTATCCTGCTAAGTCACTCATTCCTATATGTAACTTTAGGGAGAATTTCCAAAAGTGACATACATCTATTTTTATCCGTAAATAATGAGTTCTTTGTACTTTTTCTGATTTACAATTTCCAACATGTACTACAAAACGAGAATGTATCTTGATACTAACAAGTAAACTGTTAACATGTTCTATAATGTCCAGTACTTGAGTACCTGGCAAGCAAATTTTTTCTGTGCCTCCCACAACAAATAACTTCATCCATATACTTAATGACAGTCCCCCTACCATGTAAACCATTGTGTTGTTGGGAAAATGCACAAAATTGTTTACTGCTATAGAGGTAGAAGGTAAAGAATATTAATTTACTTATGAAGTCAGTATTTATTTTTCTTCAACTTATATATTGTTGATATTAAATTTTGATATCAACCTGTCATCAAATTGTTTTGTTAAGCTGCAAAATTTTATGGTCTTATGTCTTACATGTATAATTGAAGCAACAGGTGTGTCATGATATAAAAGTTTAGATATTATTGATTAGTTTATTTTTGTGAGTGAATGTTTTATTATTGTTTTTCTTATAATAAGAGTTAAAAGCAGACGATTGTAGGAAGTTTACAAGTCATTAATGTTGAGACTATCAAACGTCATGTGCAATACATTGATGTCAAGAATATACATATTTCTAGAAGGCCAGATGATTAAGTGATAAAGATATAAACAGTGTGAGATAAGCAAAAACAGTATACAGACAATAGCAGAAGAGAGTAAAGTTATGGACAAGGAAGAGTTCATAGGCTTAATGTTTAATATGTTAGAGTAAGACTAACAGTAGAAAAAGAAATAAGAAAAACAATTTATTATGTCAAAGTGTGATTCTAAAGTAACTGAGTCAGCCTGAGTGCACTTGGACAAAAGGAACAGAGGATATTTTGAAGAAAGAAGACCAAATATTACGGTAATTTGTACCTCAATTCTAAATGAATCACACACACAGAATACTAGTGCAATAGTAATAGAGAGGATAGTTTGCCTTGTCAACTGAAATTCTAAAGTAATTGAATAAGCTTAAGTGGATTTT